CTTTGAGCTGTAAAAGTTCTTTTTTGTACCAGCACCTACTGCGACACGGGATCTCGATTTATAAGGACTCATCCAGAGGACTGTTCTCCACATTCTACTGTCGACGAAAGAATCAACTTCTTACTCTGCGACGTAAGCTAATGTTTACATTTATTGAAACTCATTTACTTGATATTCTTAACAACAGAACACTGTTTACCGTAGAAAAAACATGCAATTGGTATTATAATAGTGTTCAAAAATGCTGAGCTTTAATTACATTTTAAACTCATCAAAAGAAAATACATTGAATTGTAAAGCTGAGGAGTGAATGGAATTTTATGTCTTTGAGTAAAGCTACTAAATATTTTAAAGAATTCAATATCAATCTTAAAATGGGAATATTTGAAGAAATATACACCTTGAGACTTACGTATTTTAACTCTCTCTAAAATTTTATTACAAAGCTTCGGTTAAGACTTATAAAGCAAAATAATCAAGAAACTAACAACTTTATTCAGTGAACATACGACATTATGAATAAGTATGCTATATATTAGTATGCTGGTGGATTACTACTCTGCTTTCACTAAATTCCTAACAATCCTAACAAACAGTTACATTTCCGGGTCCATCAATTCTATACCAAGCCCCTATCTTTGCTCAGCACAAAAATTCAACTGCCTTACAGGAGAAGCTTCAGGAGTACTGAACAAAGCATATTCTTAAATTAAAAGTGGCTATAAAGAGATCTGGATTCTCAAAATATCCTGTGATAAACGTGATGATTTTAACTTTTCTATCGTCAACTTCCCTTACTTATGCAGCAATATACCTTAATCACCTGCATACGGAGTATATATCTCAATTGATTCGATATGCAAGAGCATGCTCTACGTATGAACAATTTCTAAAACGAGGTGAATTATTGACAAGCAAGTTGATGAAACAAGAATGTCAGCAGTCTCGTTTAAAGTTTTCATTTCGTAAGTTCTATGGTCGATAGAATGACCTAGTCAGCACATACATTTTTTTGTTGAGTCAAATGCTGACTGACGTTTTCCATACAAATTGTTCGTCCATTATTTATACACTGAATTGTCGACGGAGTTTCCAGTTATTTCCCGAACATGACAAGGAGCACACGACAGGTGTGACCGGTCGGCAGGGGATGCTCACTCCCCCATGGTACCTGATCCCACATCTGATTTTTGGAGGTCCGTGTTTGCCCTGCTCTTATTTTGTATTGTTTTATGGATTTTGATATTGAATACTGTTCGTTATCTCCATATCCTTCATTACAGTTAATTTTAAACATTTGAGAATAATTCTAAATCGAAATTTTTCTTAATTTTAATAATATTCTTCATTATTATTTTCATTGGATTGTCATCGGTGAAATACTCAAAATTATAAATTCCATACAATTGTTTCCAAAATTTTATAGTTTTGCTACGAAAACAAGACAGTTTTCTTTTCTCAGTGAAAACAGTAAATTAAAACTCTCCTTCCCTTGAATAAAATTTTCTGATGATAAAATCATAATTATTCAACGATTGAATTTATCAGGTGATACTTATTTGGCTTAGTAATTGTTCGGTTGAAATATTTCCTTGAAGTAAGTACACTTTGTACACCCTGTTGACAAAGACTTTTACAGAAATTTAAAACTTATATTTCCTTTTATCCTTTTAATAGTCATTTATAATTCTTGTCTTAAAACATTTACGCCCTGTTTCATTTATCTGGTACAATAAGAATGTCATTTTTATATTCGATTTATAAAAAAAAAAAATTTTAAAGTTAACTATGTACAATATATAGTATTTTGCTTATTATCCTATATATTTTTTCTACACCCCACTCCCCAAAAAAGATTTAAAAAAAAGAGGAAGAAACATAACTCTTGCTTATAGACGCCCTTTCTTTACAAAAGAATTTTATATTGTAATTCACAGTTCTTTTTGTGCCAATTCAGGATATTGTAATTTCTTTCGACTAAATAGCACTAAACATGTTTTTCATACAATATCTTTCTGATGCAATTTGCGTATTTGTAAGAATTAATTAAAATTATTTATGACTAACAAAGATGCAATTAGTATGGAAACCTTAAGTTTATGACAAGAGTTTTCTGATACTTCAAATTTCAAAATTCCATAAAGGATATGGATATTGCGAATAAATTCAATATCAAAGTCCATAAAACAATACAAAATAGGAACCTTTGTATAACAAAGATTCTTTGAAAGTTTCATTAAATTTCATTCAATGGTATAAGAGGAGTGACGGAGTTACGGACGGACGTACAGACAGCCGGACATCCCAATCATTATACATGTATACCCTCCCACTATTCAAGCAGGGGTTTAAAAAAAACTCAATTTTTAAAATCATTTTAAAAGTTTATAAAAGTATTTTGGTTTGGTTTTGGTTTTCTCCTTCTCGACATCACATCGTCTACTTTTAAAATCACAAGATTTAGTATTAACATAAACCTGTTTATGCTTCAGCGTCAACAGTTCAAACCAAAGCCCCGGAAATGACGCAATGTGACCTTTGTGAGTCTATTGAGGTAGAGGTACACTGCGATTCTTGTCTTGTCAATCTGTGTAAGGCTTGTGTTGGAGTACATATGATCTCTGATGAATGCACGGACCACAAACTCATCAAATATCAGTCAAGGAAACCTACTCGTCTCTACCCTGAATGTAAATATCATAACAAGCAACACTGCACATTGTACTGTAACAAATGTAAAATTCCTGTTTGTAAAATGTGCCTTGCGTCTGGTCAACATCTGAGTCGTAAGTTGTCAGAAATCTTGAAAGTTGTGAATGAAAAAAAGGAAGAAAATAATCAGAGAACGATATGAACTAAATGAGACGATTTATCCAACCTACCAGCACATTGCATCTGATGTACAAAATAGAATGAGTCAGTTGAAAAAAATATATGGAGATCTTTCTGCAGCAATAACAGAACATGCTAGGGTCTGGCACACAGAAATTGAAAAACATTCATTAAAATTTCAAGCCAAAGTTGAAAAGATGAAGAGCACAAAATTACAGGCGCTACAGAAACATCTGGATGAAATAAACAAAAACATATCTGACCTAAGGAATGATATCAAATCAATTGAAAGGACTATAGATGCTAATGACATGTCAAAACTATTAAGGGTCACCTCTAATGTTCACCTTTACAGTAATCTTCCACAGAAAATAGCTCCTTCTCTACCAAAATCTATTCCAGGAGAGGTTCAAGGCGAAGAATTCGGTAAACTATTTGGAATCTTATTACCAAGTTCTTTAACATTAAATGAAAATGGTTACAGCTTGAAACCCAAAAGGAGATCATCAGAAGCTAGATCCCCTCCTCAAGTCAAACAGCTGCTTGACGAACCAGAGATTGTTACAAATATAGACACAGAGTTTGAATACCTAATCAATGTGGCATGTCTGAGTGACAAGAGGAAACGACAGTACTATGAAACTTTTTAACAATAATCAGGGATCACTACTCAAGTCAATCAAAACCAAGTCAGGGAACATGCCGTGGGATATTGCTGTGACGAAAAGTGGATATCTAGTTTACGCTGATGTCAGTGATAGAACTGTGAACATTGTGAAGAATAAGAAGATAGAAAACGTCATCAGACTCCAGAACTGGACACCTCGTGGTGTCTGTAGCACCTCCTCTGGTGACCTCCTGGTTACCATGTGTAGTCATGATGACAAACACTCGAAAATTGTCCGTTACTAATGTTCCATAGAGAAACAAACCATTCAGTATGATGATCACAGAAAACCTCTCTTTTCGGTATATGTATAACTGAGAATAGAAATTTGGATATATGTGTCTCCGAAAATGGCATTAGAGCTATCGTGATGGTAAATCATGCCGGGAAACTGAGATTCATGTACACTGGACACACACTTCCTCCGAAGAACAGGCCATTCATTCCACTAGGAATCACCACAGACAGTCACAGTCACGTGTTTACGACAGATGATAATAATCACTGCGTCCACAGTATAGATAAAAACGAACACTTCCTCCAATACATACACTGTGAACTGAGTGAACCCGTGGGACTTTGTACAGATTTAAATTATAATCTGTATGTTGCTCAGTGTAGAAACAAACAAGTAAAGAAAATAAAATATCTGGCTAAATGCATCAAGGTATAGATAAAAAAAATTATGATTTTTTTTTCTTGATGAAACTTACCATCGTATGCACATGTATATTACATCGGTGGTTGTATTTATGAAAATCTCGTTTTAGAAATAGTTCATATGAAGAGCATGCTCGTGCGTATCTATTCAACTGAGATATATAAACGCCGTATGCAGATGATGAAGATATATTGTTACATCAGTAAGGGAAGATAAGGCGATAGAAAAGATAATGTCATCACGTTTATCATAGAGCTTGGTTGTTAGATAACCATTAACGTCTTTTTCAAGTAGAGTATCCAAATACGAAACAGATGTGTCAGACTCTGTGGTGTCTTTTATCTCAAGCTCACCAGTATATATCGAATTGACAAAGGAATGGAAATTACCATTGTTAATTGACATTACGTCGTCGATATATCTAAATGTTGAGTTGAAGGCCACAGCAAGTTTTTCCTTCATTTCACGTATAAGATTTTGGACAAATTCTGCAGATGATTTTTTTCCCCTATTTATTCATTAGAACCCCACCACACCCCATTGTGACCCAGCCCTACCCCTGGGGGCCCTCATTTGAACCAGTATGGCTTGGTACTACTTGAGGATGCCTCAATATCAATATGATTATTATGGCTTTTCTGTTCTTGGGAAAAAATCTTCCTTGATATTTCGAGGTAAAACTTTTATCTCCAGTTGTGGCCCACCCAACCTACTTCCCTACTCCCCCAATTATGACATGAACAGTCTTGAATCAACATTATAAAGATATTGCAATATAATGACGTGAATAATCTTATGTATTGAGTAAAGTCTAATAAATCAGTTTCCGGTTGCATCATCATGGTGTTCTGATCTGGTTTTTACATGGTGTCAGAAAATTCACATCCATCGCCCCAGAAATATGGCGCATAAAGGCATTAGAACCCTTCCAGAATTTAATCCGACTGATCCTAATTTTGGAGCAAGAGAATGGGAGTCGTACAAGCGTGATTTCCTCGTTCATTTTTATACACTAGAATTGAATGATAAATCCGGCAAAAGGAAAGTAAGTATGTTGCTCGCCAACATGGGACGTGAGGCCGTCAAAATATATTATTCCTTCACATGGGCACCTGGAATAGAAGCAGATGAAGGAAACAACATAGAAGCACAGCTCGGAGAGGATCGCCATGACCTAGATACAGTATTCCGCAAATTCGACCGCCATTTTGGTGTGCACAATTACATGTATCGCAATATCAAGAGACAGGAATTCTTAGATACTAAGAGAGGTAAGAGCACAACTATGGACTATTTCTCGGAGCTTAAGCGTAAAGCAGAATTTTGTGAATACGGTGAGTATAAGGAAGGCTTCATATGTGACATGATTATTAATGGTGTTAACAACAGGAAGTGCTCAGAGAAATTAATGGAAATTCCAGCCGCTAACTTAAATCTAGACAGAGTAATTAAGACCTGTCGACAGGTCGAACTAACTAGTGCACATCTGAAAAACTTGGACGCAGAGAACCCAATGGTAAATCTAGCACACATGCATCATGAGAAAACAAGGATGAATCGGTGACCAACGAGGGGAGGTATATACCAAGGCACTCATCCATTTTGTATCAAATGTGGCAAATACAATGCGAGTGGAAACTGTCCGCCTTATAACAAGCATTGTGATTCATATGGACAAAAGGGACATTTTACACATTCAACCTTGTGTGGAGGACGCACCACACCAGTCAGAAATTTTCGTAGAGGCAGGAGTTGGTTCAGAGGCAGTGGACATGCACCGCAGCAGTCAAGAGTATATTACGCAGAAGATAACGAATATCAGGATACCCAAGAATTGGAACAAATATTTGATCAATGTACGTTTCAGGATGTGTGGACAGCTCAAACAGATTCCAGCCAAGAGAAACTAAGTGATTGGAAAGTCATCTTTGACGTCAAAGATAGGAAACTTACCCTTGATATTGACAGTGGAGCACAGTGCAACATCCTTTCAAAAACAAGTGCCGATAAATTCATATCGATTGCACCGATTACAGACAGCAAAGTTATCATCAATGGAGTGAGCAACACAGCAAAAGCATGTGGACAAATCTGCCTGCCATGCAGATACCAAGACAAAGAGAGAACCATAAACTTTCAAGTGATTGACAATCCTTGTCCTTTACAGCTACTGGGGAGAAAGGACAGCATTCTTTTTGGTCTTATAGCCAGAGTGAACAATGTAAGTGTGAGTGACGTCACGGAACAAATAAAGCAAGAATTCACAGATGTTATCGGACAGCAAGTTGGATGTCTGCCTGGCGAGTATAAGATCAAAGTTGACAACACTATAACACCAGTTATTAACGCACCAAGAGCAATTCCTGTAGCCATTCGTGAGCAAGTGAAAAGTGAGCTTGACAATCTCGTTCGCTGTGGAATTATTACCCCACCCCAGTCAAAGAACCAACCGCATGGGTAAACAGTATGGTTTGTGTAAGGAAGAAGAACGCTCGTGTAAAAATTTGCATTGATCCATCAGATCTCAATAAAGCGATTAAGCGTGGGCATTACCTTATGAACAGCATAGACGACATAGTAACCAGGTTACACGGAAGCAAGTTTTTCTCTACCCTTGATGCCAATATGGGCTACTACTAAATAAAACTGACCAAAGCAAGCTCCTTGTTAACAACATTTAACACGTCTTTTGGAAGGTACCGATATCTTCGTATTCCAATGGGATTAAAGTGTTCAGGAGAAGTGTTCCAGAGAGAAATGGTTACTCACTTTGGCAGCATGGAAGGTTTTGAAATCGTGATTGACGATATACTGCTTCATGGGAAGACTCTAGAGGAGCACACAAAGAGACTTACGACAGTACTCAAAAAGGCCCGATCAATTGGTCTGAAACTAAACTCAGCTAAGTGTGTACTTGTGAAGCCAGAAGTAGTTTATGTTGGTCATATCCTCACCGGAGAAGGCGAAAACCTTCAAGAGATAGGATATGAGCAATTCTTGAGATGAAGGATCCAGAGGATAGAAGCGAGCTAGAGACTGTGTTGGGCATGCTCGCATACCTAGCCAAGTTCATTCCAAGACTAAGTGAACTTACATCACCGTTACGAGAGCTTAAGATTAGAGACCAGTGGAGCTGGGACACGGAAGCTCAACAGGCATTTACTAATGTTAAGAAAGCACTTACCTCAACAGATGTCTTGAAGTACTTTGATGCCACACAGCCAGTGATCGTTACAGTTGATGCATCAATGAAAGGTTTGGGAGCAGCAATCCCGCAGAAAAATGGAGTAGTGGATTATGCATCTCGAGCTCTAACACCCGCGGAGCAAAGATATGCGCAAATCGAGAAATTGTATTGGTTGGGTGTGAATGTTTTCACAAATTGCTGTATGGGAAAGCTGATGTAACCATAGAAACAGACCACAAGCAACTGGAAAGCATCATGAAGAAACCAATACGCACAGCACCGATGCGAATTCAAAAAATGATGTTAAGACTGCAGCCGTATGAATTTAATCTCATATATGTGAAGGGGAAGGAGATCGGATTAACAGATTGTCTGAGCAGGTAATCGTTACAGGAGAGTGACGATGAAATGATGGTTTTTACTGTAGAAACACTGTCGTATACAAACCATGAGACATTAGTAGAAGCCACGAAGAAGGATCAGCAATTACAGACTCTGAAACAAGCTATCTGCCAAGGATGGACAGAAAGGAAATGAGACTTGCCACTTGAAGTCATGCTTGAAGTCATTCTGGGACTTTCGCGATGAGTTATCTACCTACAGTGGGTTAATCTATCGTGGAGAACGAACAGTCATACCAACAGAGCTACAAGCCACCACACTGAAGACTATCTACAGTTCTCATCAAGGAATTCTTAAATCAAAACAAAAAGCTAGAGAGCTTGTGTTCTGGCCTGGGATGAACAAACGGATTGAAGACGTCGTTAGTAGATGCAGCGCCTATTTGATGCATAGGAACAAGCCACAGAAGGAACCAATGATCATCCATTCAATACCTTCACTTCCTTGGAGCAAAGTTGGCACAGATCTTTTTGAGTTTGACAACCACCATTTCCTCATTATGGTTGATTACTATTCGAATTTCATAGAAGTTGCTGAATTGGAACGTGACACAAGAGCAGCGACTGTCATTAAAATAATCAAAGAGAATATTACTCGTTATGGCATTATGGACATACTGGTAAGCGACAATGGTCCACAGTTCGCCTGTCAAGAGTTTAAGGATTTCACCAGGGCGTATGGTATTGAACACATAACGTCATCGTCCTTACATCCGCAATCCAACGGCTTGGTG